TGTGCTTGTGTTTTCAGTCATAGGATTAAACCTCTCTGCAACCAGGGGAATCACCAACAGAGCCAGTGACTGGTTTGTTGGGCCCCATTTCTGTGAACATTCTTGAAGCTGCCAGCACATTTTTCTGACAGCTGAGCCTGACACAGTTACAGTCGAAACCTGCCTGCTTTGCATGGGGCTTGAGGGCCTCCCAGCCAGGTGGTTCTTCTGGAACTTTCCATCTGGGTTCATCTCTGTGAAACCCACCTCCTCTCGGCCATACTAGAGAGGCTAGACAGGTGTCTAAAAGGGAAGTTGACCCAAACTGGGACTCTCCATGTGCTGATGAGGCCCTGTTTTCTGCCTGGGAAACTGGAGCTCAGCAAGCTACTAGGCGGAAAATGGGCCACACAGTACTTACTTGGAAGCCGCAACAAGTCTGGGCAGGAGCTAAAGGAGGTTACTAAATTAGGGGGCTGAAATACCAAGGGGAAAACTAGGAGTCAACAAACTGGGCAGTAGATCCCAGGGGAGGGAAGTGAGACTCCCTTGCTGTGATGGCCACTGTGGCTGTTGGCAGGGACCTGGCCCTGGCTCTGAGGGCCAGGTTTCCATGCACAGCAAAAGAGAGGTCTCTTCCCACTGATAAAACTCAACACTGTGAAGGATGTGGTCATCCAGAGGCTGGGGCAGGTGCAGTGCAGACTGAATCTCTTCCCCTCCTGCTGACCAACAGACCACATAATGCTTTAGAAGGCCTCAGAGATCCCTGGTGCAAAGCTTTCACAGCAAGGTGGCAGGAAGAGGTGGGATAGACTGAAGAATGTGCACCCTTGCCCCACTTCCCCATCCCCTGCTATATCAACCATGCATGGCCAAGCCACAGTCACTGGTGGTCCAGCTGGCTGGTGACACCTGTCCTGGTCTAGTAGTCTTATTTCACAGACTGAGGCCCAGTGAGGTTAAAGTGTGTATCTGAAGTCACACAGCCAATTTTGGAGAGAGACAGAAACCCAAATCTAAGTTTCCTGGTGGCTACATCATGGCTTTTTGCGCTCAACCTCTACCTGTTGGTTTGCGGCAAAATCCAAAATGCTGGGACACTTCCACAAAGCCTGAGGGAAACGGGCTCCTGCAAGTCTGCAAACTCATGGAAGAGAAGCCAAGGGAAAATAAGTGGCTACTATAAATATTCATGTAGAAACCTGACAATATGACCTCCAGAATCAGAAGAAAAGTTCAAACTGGGGTTGCAAAAGCAATAGTTAATTTTTCAAAGCATACAGCAGAGTTGAAGAACAGTGTGTTCCAAAACAAACAAGCTGTATTGACTATTGGCTTTTATTCATTGTTTTGGACTTCACTGTTAACTATTATCACTGTTTAAAATTCACTGTTTTTCTTAAAACCCAAAACCAAAACATTCTCTATTCTTGGACCAGGGACTCTGTAGGGCAGTGATGAGGCTCAGTAACAACAAACAGCCCACTGTGGTGGCATGCATGCTAGAGGTTGGCCACCACTGTCCTAGGGTCTGAAGAGGCAGCCCCCATTTACCAGGAAATCAGTTCCATGTGGCTCTTCAAAGGCAAGCATCCTCCAGTGAGGCTTTGCAGGATCTGGGGGTGGAGGTCGGAGCCAGGGACCAGCTGCACAGCTCAGCCGAACCTGGGCAGCAGAGCAGCTGTCCCTGGTAAGCTTGGCCCATCCTCTGTGATGCTCAGCAAGCCCAGATGCACTGAGAGAACAGTGGGTCCTTTATGACATCATGGAAGCCCAGGGCCTTTAGACTTCAAAGACCTGAGAAATGCTAAAGTCCTTCAGGTTCTAACCTCAAGAAGGAGACAGCTTTCATGACTAAGGGGCCTTAGAGGAAGCCCAAAACCCCCCAAAGTGCCCCGTTCCTTCGGATACCCTACTGGCATTAGAAGGCACAGCCAGCCACATCACTAAATGACTCAGATTTATGCCTCCTAGTTATGTCTACAGAGTCAAATGGCCTTTAATTTAGCCTCATCTGCTCAATGTGCCTTCCACTCTTGCACCCTAGCTTTGTGGGTGCCAACATGCGGGTAACCCAAACACCCTTCCCTAAGCCCGGCACAAGTCCTTTCTCCACCTCCATCTTGCCCAGCTCCTCTCTGACCTCTGACCCCAGCTCATGCACATCCACCCAGTCCCGTCTGCTGCCTTCCATCTCCTTCACCCTGCCCCAGGATGGGCTGCGAGCAGTCCCTTCCTTTCTGATCCTCTGCCAACCTCACCATTGCCATGTCCCTCTTTGCCTCCCCTTTCCCACAATTTTGTCCCCCACCTTTAACCCTTTGGAGGTTGCAGCTGATCTGAGAGATACAAATAAACTCTTCTTACTTATCATTAAGGGGTAATCTGACCCTTGGACCCCTGCAGGGTCCACTATGCTTACACTATAGAGTACAGTATACCCTTCCACTAGATTCCTGAAATCTTGATTCTTCCTCACCAACCCCTACCAGCTCTCCTCATGTTTTGTTGGTTTCCTTTTCCTGTAGGCTGAGCTGGGAAATGGCAGCGCTGTCTTGCAGTGGCCTCCCCCAGTCAGCCCCTCCCCTGACAAACACAGGGTACAAAGGAAGTCTAGCCTGATTTTCACCACCACTAGTGGGTCCAAAATAATTTTAATGGATTACAACCAACGTTAATTTTTTTAAAAAGGAAACGGAACAGAAAATACTGGAGAACATCTCCCAGAGTAAGAAGTATTGCTTGATGACATTTGGTTCAGTCACTTCTGTGTGTATGTGTTCCAAGTTTCAATGTAAAATGATATTTCTCACTGTCGGTTGCATCCAAAGAAGTTTGAAAGTCCCTGGTCTAACGCAGACACCAAAGAACCAGTGTTGAATGTGACAGGAGTGAGAGGTGATTGAAGAGATGTACATATCTTGATGGCCCAAGGACCTGTGCTCTTTGGTGCTCCCACAGGTCCCGAGGTGGACTCCCTGCCCTCCTGACTGTTGGAGGAAGGAGGCAGGGCTTGGGAGACACTTGGACCAGGGAATGTCTGTAGAAATTCCCAGATGATACCCAGCACAATTTGCACATAAATCAAAGACTGAAATCTTAATTGCCATCAAGATCAAAAGAAAACACTTAAACAGATAGGATCTTCCAGAGAATTCTCCATGCAATTTCATCTGCTCCTCCTCCATCCCATAAATATAAGGCCAGGAGGACATGTCCACTGGAAGTGGGGTCCAGCCAAAGTCTGGAAATTTATCATTTCTTGCAATTGGATCATCAGCTGCTATAACTTCACACACAACAAAATTCGAAGATTGTCCCTAAGACTGGAGCCAGTCAAATTCCAACTTGTACCACATACACTCGGCTTTGGGCAGGGATGGTCACATCTCGAGTTACTGGCAGTAAAAGGTGAGCACATTTTCCTGGTTCCCTCGGATCAAGATGACTGGAGGTCTGAGGTCCTGGGACAAGGTCTCCAGCCAGGCCATGTACAGGGAGCTGGGGCACTTCCCCTTCCTCCCTATGGGCAAGGTGCTGCCAGGCAGAAGGGGCAGAGAGGAATTACCTGGGGTCTTCCCGTGCAGCCCTGCTCATGCTTTGTTCCTGAACAGCAAGTCCATTTATTGTTCCCTTCAGACCCCCTCCTTCCCACCCACCCCAAGAGAGACCTCTCCACTCTCATTCGAGATTGAGAATGTACCTTCAGCCAGGAAGCATTTCTAAACAAAGCCATGGCCTGCATGTCCCCAGGATCTAGACCCCACTGATGCCCACAACCTCACCTCCTCCTGCCCTCAGGCTTGCTCTGCAACCACAGTGGCTTTCTTTCCTTCCCTAAAATAAATACCAAGCTTGTTCACCTGCCTCTCCTGGAAGGTGGTACTCACAGCGCTCCATCTGGCTGGCTCCTTTAAATCACTCAAGTCCCTGCTCAAGTGCATCTCCTTTGCTTTTTCCAAAGGAGGCCACTTATGTCTCTTCATCCTAGCCCCTTGCTTTATTGTCCTTTGCAGCCTTAGAAACATCCTTGGAGGTATCTATTCCTACTCCCCACCCTGGCCTGTCATGGGAATGCATGTTTGCTCAGGAGGGCACACTGTGATGCATTTGGACTCCAGGTGTATTTGTTAAATGGGAGATCCCACCCCATCAGCCACACCTGCCTGTGGCCACAACAAAGTGATTCAGCAGAGCATCCTTGTCCTGCCCCTACCTCATGTCGGCCCTGGGAGGAAACTGCACCGTGGCCTCTGGAGGCCCCTTATCCAAACTGCACAATGGTGTGCAAATAACAAGATGCTCTACAAATGCTGCTTAGTCATATTTTCCCAGTTAATGCAGGAAGTGATTTTTCTATCATCTTGAAAATTCCAAAAATGCATCAGGATGGCTGCAGCTGCCTGGCTTTTGGTCCTGGAGGAGGCAGCATCTCATAGCCCCAGCTGGCACTATGTGAAGTCCAGACAGCAGCACCTTACCTGGGATACCCTTGCCGCTCTGTTGGCCTTCTCTAAAGCACATCCACAACCTACTCACCCCAGCCCTCTACACAGCCCTGGGACACCAGGCAGACAGAGGAGGCAGTGCCACACTCTGGGCTCCAGAGTTCAGGCTCTGGCCCTGGAGAATCTGCCTCTGTTGTGTGGCTTTGGAAAAGTCCTAGAGTGCCCCTGAGCCTCAGTTTTTCTCCCTTCAAATGAGAACCCAGATACTACCATCTGGGATGTTTGCTGGCTCTGAAGAAGACAAAGTGCACACGGGGCACAGTGCCATGGTTGGCAGTAGGACATTCTCATAGCAGCCACTGCCACTGCTTATTATTTACCAGCAGGAGATGATCACGTGGGGTGGGGCGGGGCAGGGAGACTCAACCAAGGTCTTCAGATCTTCCACCAGCTGCCTCAGCTCACCACAATCCCACTGGCTGGAGAGGGCAGTTGGGTCCCTGAACAGCTGCCTCATACTTCAGATGCCATCACAAAGCTTCACTTGGGACAACCACCAGCATCCTTTCAAAAGCAGGGTCCCAAGGATTAGGGAAGGTGGGTGGGGACAAAGGCTTTTCATAGCTATTGTTATCTTAGTTCAATTGGGTTTAGTGACTTTCCATGAAAAAGAGACAGGGGAATGATAAACCCAAACTCTCCAGATGTAACAGATATGTCAGAGGCTGAAAACGCTGAGGTCTGGGAAATACTATGTTACTTTCAGGGACCGAATTCACAAACTTCAAAGGCCACCAGAGAACAGGTGCCTGCCTGATCGGGGCCAAGGGGAGAACATGCCTGTGGTCATTTCAACCTTCCTCATGTAGTTCCCTCACCCAAGGGAACCTGTCCACCTGTCCAAGGGACAGCTGCCTTTAACTCACAGTTCTAATCAATGACACATAGCATTCCTGAGCACAGGATGTGCCGGCCTTCGGCTACTAATCCTTACAAATAAAGCTGCCCCAGAACAAAGGGACTTGTTCGGAGTTGCTCCTGGCTACAAAGAGTGGCAGCCATGGCTCTAACCTCTATTAGGGGTGAAAACTGTGCAACAGAACCCAGTCCCACCCAGGCACTGAGGCCCAGCCTCATTTCCCATCTGTGAGGTCCTGGGCCAGCAGCCGACTCTTGAAGGGGTTTCCTCATCCCTAACAGGGGGCTGCAAAGGGTGATTCAAATAAAGTTTTGAAAATCTACAAGGCCAAATTCATAAAATGCAAAATCATCTATCACTATTTTGGTTATTACTACTGGACTTTGAGGAGGAGTCATTATAGACAAAAGAGATGTCTGGTCCCAGCAGAATAGGTTATTAGTTTAGTCAAAGGTTGTTGGGCTGTTTACTAGGCAGGTTTACCAGCTGTCCTGGTTATAGCTGAGCTCAAACAAAGGTTGTTGGGGAAAAAGATATTAATCATTAATCAAATAAATTGCTGATTAGTAGACATTGGTAAACAATCTCAAATCTCAAACCAGCTCTTTTTAAAAAATGGCCCTAGCATGCTCTCCAAAATGGGAGACAGTGACTTTGTCAATGCACCAAGGCCAAGAGATGCTTTTTGTTCTCAGAATTTCCAGGGAACGCAGGGTTCTGTGTTCCACCTGGCCTCTGGTCTGGAAGGAACTAAGTAAGGAATGTGTGTTTTCCACATGGTGGTTCTGATGAAGCTGACCCCTGACCACACTTTTAGAGAAACCAGGTGTGTCTCTAGCATGGAGATTAGGAACACACACAATGCAGCTGCTCTGATTTCCCCATGGAGTTGGCCCTAGAGCCAAGGCCCATTTGGGCAAACAGCTGTGGCTGCCAGTGTGGGATGGGGTGGGGTGGGTGGGGTGCATGCAGATGTCTTCTCCATGGTGACTGGACACATGGTTACTTGTATCATCTAATCCCACAGTCTTCCTATGAAGTCCTGGGGTAGAGGGGAGAGGAAGGAAGAGGAGCCAGCAGGGGTCACCTCTCAGGACCAAATTCTTCATCTCATGGCCTGAAAGGTGGACTCATTTTAATGGCAAATAAACTTAGAACCACAACATGTTAACATGAAAGAGAACCCTGGGAATACTTCAATGTGACTTTTTTGATCTTTAGGGAAACCAAGGCCAGAGAGATGTGAGGTCACTTATCCAAGAACACATAGTGACCTAATAGAGACAAAGCAAAAACCTGTTTCTCTGAAGAGAGGCAGAGTTTATGAAGCTGTGGTTGACACACAAGTGTACACCAAGGGGCACATATGCCAGGCTCCCCAACCAAGAAGCCTGGGGCCACCAGACAGGATGGAGCCACTGTCTTGCATTCTGACCCCATCTGTATCTGGGACCAACCTTACCCTAGAACATTCTCTGCTGGGTGTTGGCTGGAGGCGGGGGGCTAAACCCAGCCTTTTCTTATCACGCTTCTCAAATCAAGCAAACAGAGAACACATTCATTGCAAAAAAAAAAATGATCTCCCTGAACTGGGAGGGAACCCTGGGAAACCACTGTTGCAGCAGAATCAGCAAACTATGCAGCCACAGAGGGCCTGTGCTCAGAAGGGGCCACCCTTGGCTGAAAGCACTGTTGTCACCACTTTGACATTTTTTTCAATGCCTTAAGTGACACAGGAAAGCACTGCAAGTGAAAGTTCAGCTCAGCTGACTGCAGTGTAAATGATGTCACTGTCTGAGCGGGGCATAAAGTGAGCTCTCCCTATGGAAAAACGCACACAGGTGCTGGTGACATCTGGGGTCAGGGGACATGCTGAATCCCAGGAAAAGACTGGCAACTGCTTTCTGTGGTCAGCTTTCTGTGCTCTTCCACTCCTCTGCTAAAGAGATATGCTACTGGGGTGTCAGAAATCGTTGAGTATTCTGTACAACCTACTGCATGTGCAAAGTGGCTAGGAGGGACCAAAGTCAGTCATAACCATCTGCTGTGGTCTGAGTATGGTGTGTCCCCCAAAAGTCAACGTTGAAATCCATACCCGCAGGGTGGAGGTATTAGGTATTAGCTTTTAGGAGGTGAGGCCTTTGGGAAGTGATTAGGTTGTGAGGGTGGAGCCCACATGAATAGAATTTGTGCTCTTACAAGAGAGGCTCCAGAGAGCTCCCTGCTCCTTCCACCATGTGAGGACACAGCAGAAAGGCGCCATCTATGAACCAGAAAGCTGGCCCTCAACAGATGCTGAATGTGTTGGTGCTTTGATCCTGGGTTTCCCAGCCTCAAGAACTGTGATAAATACATTTCCATTGTTTATAAGTCTCCCCACCCCCACCAGTATATGGCATTTTGTTACAGCAGGCTGAATGGACTAAGACACAATTCCTAAACCCTGACAGAGAGTACATGGGAGTATACTCCTCCCTGCTTTTTTCCTTCCTCCCTCTGTCCTCCCTTCTTCCTTTTCTTTCTTTCCTCCTTCCCCTTTGCGGGGAGGTGTGTGTGTGGGGGGCTCTCACTATATTGGCCAGACTGGCTTGAATTCCTGAGCTTAAGCAATCCTCCTGCCTCAGCCTCTTGAGTAGCTGGGACCTCAGGCAGGTGCCACCTTGCCCCATATATCCGAGCATGTTTCTAATAGCTTGGCCCACTCTGATGGTGACCAAACTCTGCTATTTGGCAGGGGAAAATGCTACTGCTATCTTGTCAATGTGGAGTAACTGCTACTAGTAGCCTTTGAATCCTCATGGGCCTTGAAGATGAGACTGACAGAACAGAAGCCTCTCCAGTAGGTCTCAGGCTAGCTGCTGAGCTCCTGCCTGTCAGCAGTACCCAGTGAGCTGAATGCCCTCTGGTTTCATCTGTTACTTTCTTGTGTGTCTGCTAAAAGCCACTGGGCATCTTTGGTTTGAACCCATTTGCCATTTTGATCTTCTGAAAGGGCACTCCCTTGAAAGAGGGTCTCGGCAACACTGGGGCGGATTTGAGCGACCATACAGGAGTTGTGCCGGTGAAGCGGTAGGAGGAGGAGGTTCCAATGGTCTTCTCAGTGGCTATCGGCCTAGAGGCCTCTTTGTAGGAAACCAGTGTCCTTAGATCCTGGCCTTTGCAGAGCAGGTCAGATGGTGACATGGCCAGGCATGAGTCCTATCCCAGGGCTCAGGTCCCTTCTACATGAGCACACATACCAAGTGCAATGGTGTGTTAAATTCAACACCTTCTCTCCAGAGAAATGCAAGCTTCATGCGACCCTAATTGCTCACAGTATTACAAGTGTGGTTTCTCTCCACGACAGAGTACACTTTGCAGATTTATGGGACCATTCAAGCAGATACGCATGGAAAATCATGACCTTGAGCTTGCATACCCACATCACCCATCGGGACAATGGTCCAACTGTGCTCTGCTGTTCCACTTCCACTCCTCCTCCTTTCTTTCTCACCACACATCCAAGTGAGAATGGGAGGGAGCTGGCCTTGTTTTAAAGGAGGACCACGTCGCCACAGTCTTACTGATGTAGCACAGCACCACACATTTTCCTATTGTACAAGGCCCTACAAATTATGCTGTTGGCCCTGGCTACAAAGTATACATACAGGTTCAGCAGGCTGCCTAGCTGTCCTGCAGAATACTCAGGTGCTGGACTGCTGGGAAATGTAGGAAAGGCAGTTATTTGCTTCAGCAAAGACTCCTCACCTTCTGAGCTGTAGACTCAGAGGCTTGGCTGACCACATACTTTCTACTGACTCAGGGCACAGAGCCACACTGAGACCCCCTCTGTGCCGCTGTCACCTTCCACTTGCTCAGCCCTGCTAACACCTGCCAGGGCCAGCTTGGAACTGAGCATGGGTCCAATAGAACACGGGGACTGAGTGAGGCCTCTCTTCCTGTTGTCCAGACTTGGCACCAACATCAGTTGGGGTGGCTGATGGCCAAAGAGGGCTGAGCAATTCCCAAATGACCAGGAATGCATTTCCTTCTGGAGTGAGCTGGGTCCCACCTCTGCCAAGCCAAGTTTGGCAAGTAAAGGTAGCAAATAAGGAAAAACCAGCAGGGAGAGGAAGTCAGCCATACCTGAGACATATGACAGCCTAGATCTCTGCCAGTTGGTGCTTAGGCAAGGGACACAGGCAGGCTCAGTCCTTGCCACATACTGAGAACCCACCCAGGCTATATGTGCAGGTGCTGTGGACCCCTCACTGCAGCTAGTCCTGCTTCCTGAGCTCCTTTCCCGATCTGCCATGATTGCCCTTCCCCCCAGCCAGGTGCTACTTACATGACGACCAGGGCAGCATCCTGGGAGTAATCCAGCAGAATCTCATTCAGCCTCACCTGCCGAAGGGACTGGGCGAGGAGAAGCCCAGAGGTCACTTCCCACATCCTTGCTAGCAGTGGATGCCCTGCCGTGTCCAACTGGACACAGGAGTTATTCCTCCTAATGGATTATATATTCTCTTGCCCTTGGGGAGGAAGGGGATCCTCATGGTAACTGAGTACCAAGTTTATCTCCTTCAAGAAGCCTACCTTGATTTTTCCATGTGGGAAGAAGAATCCCTTTACTGGATTCAAATCTTAGCCCTGACAGTTCAGAGCAGAGACAACCTGACTGAGCAAGTCACATCACCTCCTGAGCCTCACTGTCTTCCTCTGCAAATGGGTATGATAAAGCCCTCCCCAGGGGGACATGAGAAGGATCAAAGGAGATGCTCTAAGTCAAAGCCAGACAGGGGGCCTGGTTATGTGGAAGATGCACTGGGGAAAGACAAGGAACTCAGGGCAGGGACAGCTCTACCTCCTCTGGGACAGACTGAAAGAGAACTTCCTTTGGACACTATCCTTACTTGGCATTTTCCAAAGAGCCAGCTGGCCAGTGAGCCATTGGAGACAGTGTCTCCTGGCTCACAGATCAGGGCAATTTCCAAAGCTTGTGGGAGGCTGGGATGGAGGGAGACCCTTAGGCCCAAGGCCTGTGTCCCGGCTGTTCAGAAATGATTGACACCCATGATATGAGAGCAATGGACACCCCATTGTAAGAGGATGAAAAACTGAGGGGAAGTGAGTTACCCTCACCCTCTCTGGGACATTTTGTGTAGACAGCTGTTTGTTGTGGAAGCTGTTCTGCTGTGCATGGCAGGCTGTTCAGCAGCATCCCTGGTGCCCACTCACTACATGACAGGAGCAACTCACATTCCCTAGTTGTGACATCCAAAAATATCTTCAAAGGCTGACAAATGTCCCTTGGGGGCAAAACTGCCCCCAGTGGAGACCTGCCTGGAACACGGAGCAGAACTGAGATCTGTGCCCCGGCCTCCGCCCTCCTAGCTATTTACCCCACCTTGAAACAGCCACAGTGGCCACTGTAAGGACTTGTGCTATGCATGTGCCATGGTCTTATCAGAGTCCTGACCTGTCTACAAAGGGGGCAGCCCGGCCACTGGGCTGTGTCCAGGGCAGTCTCTGTAGGCTGCGTAGATCAGGCAGCTTTGCTGACCCACAGGACAAATTATACTTCTGCTGTCATACTATATCAAAAATCCCTCCCTCCAGGCAGAGGAAAACAGGAGAGGAGAGGGAAGACTCTAGATGGTCCATGCCCACCGCCAGGCCACTTAAAGGGATGGGATGACCAGGCTCCCGCAACAAGGACAGCATTGAGTGCTACCACTGGTTACCTGTCAGCCTAGCAATTATGGCTTGAGAATACTGAGGTGGGAAATGGGAAAGCAGGATTCAAAAGAAAGTAGGCTCAGGAAACTCAGGACACAAGGGACACATGGCTGTGACCCAGAAGATGCCTTGACCCCCCAGCCCCAGTTCTTCAAGGCTTGCTTTTCTCCTGTACCTTGACTCTGTTCTTATTGACCTCTTCATCTGAGATCTTCCAGGGACAGTCCCGCCTCATCTCTGCGACCGTGGCCTCGTCCTTGAAGCCATCATTTAGGCGGAATGGTGCAATCATGTCCTCAAACCGCTTAATGCTGGGGACAAGAGAGGAGGTGAGGCTGGCTGAGATAGCCCCATCTCCAGGGGAACCAGGTCCCTGGAAAGAGCTGGAGGTGGTGCCACAGGGACAGACTTTTCACTAAAACCCATCTGACATGGTTGTTTAATCCAAGTGGCTTCCACATGGAATTTAGCTCTGACACTTACATTTGGCACAAAACCAAACTCCACAGCCATCCATGGTGACTGACTTGGACTCTACCCCACCCTTTCTATTCAGCAGGTGTCACTAGCTCAGGTCCTGTGCCACACGAGCCACACAAGCAGGCTGTGCCCCCACCGTTTCAGAGCTCATGGTCTGTTGGGTGATAAGCAAATAGGTAAATAAATATAAAGTGGAGTTTTATGAAGGTATAAACAGAATAGTTGGCCAGAAAGAACAGGGGTGGGAAGGACTCTCTGGGACCTGAAGAGTCTTTCTGATGCCAGCTATGCATAGGGCAGGGGGTGCTGGAGCAAACAGAACTAAATGTTCAAGGCCCTGAGGCACAGCATGTCTGCTTTGTGTGAGGATTGGCAAAGGAGCCAGTGTAGCCGCAGGCAGAACGGTGCACAGGGCAGGCAGGTGGCCCTTAGCCTGGAACCCCCACATGGAGAACTCACTGCTCAGCATTCGGCTTCTGATTGATGTCAGGAAGGATGTGAACTTCATGGAATCCCAGTCGAAACTTGCTCAACAGAGAAATGATCCTGGAAGACAGATTTTTTTTAAAAAAATGTTCATTCCCTTAGTTTTTATTAAGCACCTGCTGAGTGTTTAGCAGTGGACAAAACACAACTGGCATTCTAACAGAGGGATAGAAGCAGACGATAAAGAATACCAATTAAGTAGTTCAGATGATCACAAGTCACATGGAAAAACATTCGACCAGAATTTCCCAAATGTCTTGTGACAGCTCTATACTAGTGCATCTCAAGCTGCAGGAGACCTTGTCACAGTGCAGATTCTGGGTCAGCTGGCCTGGGTGGCCCCTGGCACTCCATCTCTAACCAGTTCCCAGGATGCAGTGCTGCTGGACCACGGACTGCACTTTGAGTAGCAAAGGTCTAAGGGATGGGTTATCTGAAAGAGGGAAATTAAAGTGGCTGAGGAAGCAAAGAGAGCACACAAGAACTCAGCAGGAGCAGCAGGCCAGATGGCACTGGCTGTACATCTCACAGCACAGCTGTGCTCTGTGGCAGTCAGGGAAGACTTCACAGAGGAGGTGGCGATGTAACTGGATGGTGCATAGTGGGCAAGACTTTTACAAACCTGAGTGGGTGGGACAGGGAGTGTCCACATTAAAATCACCCAAGGAGCCCTCAGAAAAATGCACCTGCCTGGGCCCAGCCCGCTCACTAAGTCAGATCCCTGGCGAGACATGGCTTTGTTGACTCCCTTCATGATGCTGATGTGCCTCCTGGTTAAGGACCACCAGACTCACTGGTGGGCAGGAATCCAAATGAGCAAAGGCACCAGGGACAGAGGAAAGCAGGGACACTGGAATGCTGCCTGGGACAGCATGAAGTATGCTAGGAGGAGATGAGCCTGAAGCTCTAGGCTGGGGCCCAGCTGTCAAGCCATGGCTGGTTCCAGAACTTAGGGAGTGGAATTCTGCAAGCAGAGCTGTAGCCAGACTCATCCTGGTATGTGGTGGTGGTCATGGAGAGAGTAGAGCACATGGCCCATCATGAGATAGCTGGTGACTGAGGAGTTTTGGTAACCTTGGCACGAAGAACATGCTGTTATCCAGCAGCATCTCAGCCTTGTGCTAAGCCAACCTCAGGGACCCCAGCTGCCACTCAGAACTGGGACAGGAAGCTGAGACCATGGCACAGCCTTCCTGGCCTAGTTACTCTTTAAGGGTCACAGAGGCTGGTGCTGGTGTTCCCTAGCAGCTGCTCTGGGCCTTGTGGAGAAGGGACCTGTCAACGGTGAAGTTCTCAGTGCAGGAGTCAGACTGCTGGGTCTCCCTGAGCCCATACAGGAATGACTACAGGCACAGATCCAAGGTATAACCCTGGAATAGTAGGAGGGCCATGCAGGCTGGGGGTCACCTCCTTTTCTGCTCTGGGTGTCATGGCCAGAATCACTGCAAAGGACACTAGAGACTGCACAGGAGTCTTCTTTTTAGCTATTAACTGTGTGGGTGTAGGAAAACTGCCCTACTGTCCAAGCAGGCTCCCCATCCATGACCTGTAACCTGACCTGAACTTTCTCTAAAGCAGCTACTTCACAGCTCCTGCCAACTCTGCACCTGTGCATCACCTGCCTCACTGTTTATTTCCTTGTCTGTTCACATCAACTCACATTCTGACTTAGTGCTATGATTTGAATACAGTTTGTCCCCTGAACTCATGTTGAAATTAATCCCCCATGTGAGGTATTAAGAGAGTAGAAACAGAATCTGACTACGGTGATTAGAGGTGGGGCCTTCAGGAGGTGATTGGGATTGGAGAAGGTCATTGGAGTGGATCCACCATGGTTGAATCCTGGCGGCTTTATAAGAAGAGGGAGAGCTGAGCATGATGGCACATGCCTGTAATCCCAGCTACTTGGGAGGCTGAGGCAGGAGGATGGAGAGTTCAAAATCAGTCTGGTTAACTTAGCAAGACCCTGTTTCAAGAACAAAAATAGGGCTGGGGATATAACTTCATGGAAGACCCCTTGCCTAGCATGAGCATGGTCCTGGGTTCCATCCTCAGACTGCAAAAAGTTTTAAAAAATAAAAAGCCTAGGGAGAGAGACCAGACAGACAGACACAGACACGTGTACTCCCTGTCTCCATGTGGCCTCAGGATTCTGGTAGCAAGAAGACCACCAGCTGATGCAGCCCTAGGTTTGCACCTCCAAAACCCTAAGCCATTATAACCCTTTTTTTCTGTAGAGAGCAGACTGCCTCAGGCATTGTCATTATCGTAATGAAAAAGTAATATGCTAACTACCTTTCAAAAGGAAATCTTATATTACAATTTTAAACAGAAAAGAGCATCTCTTTTAGGAGGGGCCTCTCTGTCCACAAGATTTCTCCTTGAGGAGTTTTGTGGTTTTTAAAACTTAACACCGCTGCTTGTTATGGTAAAGCCTGGGACATCTGCATCATATTAAAGGGCATGTCTGAACAATTTCTGACATGGAGAGAAACCTGCTCCTGCCCAGAGCCCCAGGCACCATTGCTGTGGCCTGGAGAGAGCTAGCCTGGCCTTGGAGACATCCTGGGCCACCCAGGGGTGGTGGTGGAAGATGGGGGGAAAGGGTAGGGGGCAGCTTCTGGGGAGCTCAGATGGCGCAGCTGTGTGGCCCTGTGTTGCCTCCTCACTTACGCCTTTCTCTCCTGGTCCAGTCTGTTGATCTGGCCCCCGACGAACACACGGATCTTGCATTTGGCCCATCTCTTCTTGCGGTGGAGGAGGTAGGGGATGAGGAGCGTAAGGCCTGGTGAGGAGAGTTCCCAGGAGGATCCCAACAAGAAAATATGCTAAGGACTGAGTCCTCTGTGGGTTAGCACTCCACAAAGCCACAGCAAACCCCTTCCCCTCTCTGGACGTCAGTTTCCCTGCCTGCATCAGAGCTCACCTGACTCGACCTCCGTTGCTCACAGTGCTCACTGGGCCAGGATTTTCTTGTCTAGCACAGTGTTTTAAATAAACAAGCTGGCATTGAATAATTTGGGAATTGCACAAGGATATCTAGATTGCTGACCTGTCCTGAAAATTGAATATTTGACAAAGGGGTAGGATCCCTTATCCCTCCCTGTCATCTCTCCACATGACCCCAAGGACCAGCCACCACGTATCACTGCGTAATCCTCTCTGCCTCAGGTTCCTTATTTGTAAAGGAGACTGCACCAAGTTAACCTCCGTAGAGCACTCAGTGTCAGACATGTGTGTAGTAGGAGCTCAGCCTCTTCTTAGCTGTCATTCATAGAGAACACAGTCAGCTCTCTGTACCTGCAGGAGATGGGATCCAGGCTCCCTGCCCCATGGATGGCAAAATCCACAGGTGCCCAAGGCTCTTTTATAAAATGGCATGGTATGTGCACAGAACCTACCACATCCTCCCACCTACTTCAAATCACCTCTTATAATACTGCGATGTAAATGCTATGTAAATAGCTGCTATGCTCCATAGTGCAGGGAATAATGACAAGAAAAGAGTGTATGTGTTCAGTACAGACAATTTTTTTTCTGCGATGAGTTAAAACCATGAATGTAGAACCCATGGATACAGAGGGTCAATCTTGCTCCACTGGAGCACAGGCATTTTCTCTCTATGAAGGACTCAACCAAAGGTAGCAACAAGCAAGCTGAGAGCCATATTTTAAGAAAACAAGGAGAGGGCGTGTTCCTGCGTGCTGGCCCGTGTCCCCCGTTTATGTCATGCAGCTGTGGTCTGTAAGGAGCAGAAGGTTCTCTCTCATGTTGGCCTCAGTGTCCCTGCAAAGCTCTGTATTTTACAGCTGAAAAACTAGAGGCCAGAGAGTGGGATCCAGCCAGGCTCCCCTGACCTCAATATGGGCGGAACTGGAGCCCCATGTCCTTGGCTAGGCTGTGCACTTTGCTCTGCTCACCAGTGGCCTGGATGAGAGCAGGCCAGAAGGGCAGGACAAGGGACACAAAGACCTGGAGGGGCAGCGGGGAGCCCATGTCTGGGGTAGGGTGCTGACCTCCATCGTCAAACAGCCAGTAGATGTCAATGGTCTTCTTGGCCTGCTCTGACTGGAAGATGGTGCTGGCCTGCTCCTCCCACACCAGAGCCTCGGGGTCCACTGCCAGAGGGGAAGGGAGGTCAGATCATGGCCAGCACCCTCAGTCCCCCAACCTGCCTCAAACAGCCAGCTCCCCTGGGAGGTGGCTTGATATGCGTCATGCAGGGTGGACATGCAGCCGCCAGGAGCACCCAGAGCATGGCTAATGCCGCTTCTGGTGCCACAAATCATATACTCAGGCAGGTAGCCAGGAACAGGGGCCCTGGACACAGGGTTACCAGATGCACCTCCCTTGCTCCCAGCTTCTCTCTCCTCGGACTCTGGTGGGCACAGGGGGGTGCTGGAGGTAGATAGAAACCCAGTGCTTGCTGGGACAGGCCATTGGCAGGAAGCAGGCTCTTCCATCTCAGGAAGATCCCCCTGTGCCACTCACAGACATTGCAGGATGCCCTAAGCCTGCCACAGGTTCCCCAGATCCAGGGTGTGGGAGGAAGAGAGCACCATCCCACCCCTCTCCCCCTACATTTAAACATGACCAAGGGGGACCTGGCTGGTGAGACTTGGGGCCCAGAGCCCCGAATTCCCCACCAGGGCTGGCAATCTTTAGCAGGGCCAAGCCCCCTCCCAATTATCCAATCCAGTTATTCAGGCACTACTGGTCACCAGGAAAAACCATTTGCCCTTGACCCAGACCCCATGGGGAATCGCAGCCCCACAGGGCAGGAACACCGTGAGTCTCTCAGCAAGCAGGGACTGACATGTGCCAGACACAGATTGCCTGGCCCCGCCGGTGCTGGCTCCCTTGCTGTCCTCTGCTGGATCAAACACAGGATTAACTGCAAAAGAGGGGGGCAGCTAGGTTTGCAGGTGCCCCTCACCTGGGTGGACTTCTGGGTTTATCATCTGCAGGGCACCCCCAACACTAGGAAGAAAGTCTGCACTCCTCCCTTGGTCCCCTCTTCCCTGGCTCCTTTCTGCCTCTCCACCAGGCCACGCTTAGCTCCACCTCTGGGCCATGGTGCAAGAGGTCCCCGAGCTGGGAACAATCTCTCCCCAGCTCCACCCTCTCAGCAAATGGCCTGGTGTTCAGAAAGACCATCCTTGACCGTTACACTCTGCATCTCCTCAGAACACCAATATGTCTGAGATAATTATATCCACTTGTTTGTATCTGCTTTGCTCCCTGGAACATCAGGATCCAAGGCAAAGGCTTTGTTTCATCTCTGCTCTGCTCCTAGTGCCTTGAGCAGCATGGTTAGTGACTCTGTAAATATTGACGGCATAAATATTTACTGGCCACTGCCATGGGTCAGGCACAGTCTCTGCCCTTGGTGACACAGCTCCTGGCTGCAAGTGACACAGAGCCCCACCTGCCAGTCTCCCAGCTCCACCTCCATTTGTCTTCATGCTTTTTATGTCTTTTACACCTAATTATTATGAATGCAGAGCTTGCATAACCATATATGACTTTCACATGTAAAACATTCCTGACCCTAAGAGTACCCCAAAGATGGCCTTCAAGACCAAAACTTGCAGTTTGGACAACAGTTAGGTGACTGGCTTCCTAGTTCAGCATCTTTATGTTAGCAAGCCCCTCTGCTTTCTTCTCCTTTTTCTTCTCTATTAGATCCTTTTTATTCCACCCGGTTACAAAAGCATTGACTTGGACTTGGGGAGCTCAGAGTTCCAGGTCTCCTTCTGCCCCCAGGTGGACACATGTTCTTAAACTGGTTACTTAGATCTTCCTCTTGAGGCCTTAGTTCCTCCACTTGGAAATCTGATGGACTCTAAGGACCATCAAGGGCTGACTCTCTGAGTCTGTGACCTTTTATTCCCTACTAATTTTTCCTTCTCTTCCATTTACCCCTTTTAAAAAATTGGATTCTGGAACTTCCAGGCGCGTCCTGTACTCACTGTGAGCCTGCATCACCTCGGAGACATTGAGCCCCTCTCGCATCCTCATGATGCACATGCCGTAGTTGAAATCAAAGGCATCGCTGGAAAGAGGAGGTGGAATTATGGTTTGGATAAAAAAACATCACCCTGAAGCCTCACGTGTTCAGAGATGGGGCTTTTGGATCATAAAGACTCTGACTTCATCATTGGGTTTATCCAGTGACAAGATCATAATTTGCTGACATTATTGGAAGGTGATGGACACATGGGAGGTGGAACCTAGTTGAAGCCAGTGGGTCAAGTGGGCATGACCTTGAGAATCATATCTTGTCCCCAGCCCATTCTTTCCTTCTCTGCTTCCTGGCCCCCAGGAGGTGAGGGGCTCTGTCCCACCACACCCTTCAACTGTGACAGCCTCAGGCCCACAGCCCACAGCAATGGAATCAGCCACATATGGACTAAAACCTAGAAAACGGTGAGCTAAAATACACTTTGCTTCTTTGAGTTGTTTTTCTCGAGTATTTGGTCACAGCAATGAAAAGCTAACACAGGTAGGGTCAGGCTCCTTGCAGCTCCAGCTTCCACGAGGGAGGTGATCTGGCTCCCAGGAGACCCAGTGTCTGGTGTGGGCCCTGACCCTTTCCACGCTTTCTCCCCTCTGGCCTCAGAATGGGAGAGTGCCAGTGTCCTGCTGGGGAAAACCAAGTCTGGCCTGGCATCAGGTCATGCCCTGTCCTGCTGATACATTTGGACAATCCTCACAACTCTGCCCTCAGAGGTGGGGAAGGTCATTATTATCTCCACTTTCCAGACACAAACACTGTGTTTCAGGAAGTAACTCACCCATCGTCATACAACTAAGGAAGTGACCAGCTGGGATTAGGATTATATGCTGAGACTATAAATCAAAGAGGGGTGTGCACATAGCAATGTCCTAGCCCTTAAACTGGGTGTGGTGGCACACATCTCTAATCCCAGCACTCAGGAGGCTGAGGCAAGAGGATCTCCATGAACTCAAGACCTACATAGTGAGTTCAAAGTCAGCTGAACTACATGGCAAGACCCTGTCTCATAAAAACAAAAGCAAACAGAAAAAGGAATGGTCTCACCCATGCAATAGGCTGGTTCTAAGGGTGTCTAGGAGACTTCTGCCCCAAAAGTGTATTGATCACATGATTGACAAGTGGCTGAGAGCCCACCATTAGGGTCTGACCCAGCAGGCTAACACTGTCCTTCCTGACTCCACTAACCCTGTAACTCTGGACTGTCTTGGAATGGCAGTGCTGGAAGCCAGGTTTCCCACCACCTCTGCCTGTAAGTTTGCTAGAGGCAGCTGGGATGGTTGCTGAATCACAGTGGATTAACAGCAGACCCGGAAGCAGGCCTAGGACCTCCACAGTCAGCCTTACATTCTTGAGTGGTGCTGCACACAGCCTCTCTGTGCAACATCGGTGCAGAAAAGCAATGCAGCCCTTCTCTGGACTCTGTACAGCAAAGAGCTGAAGGAAACTCTGAACTCCCCAGGAGCTCAGTCCTTGGCAGCCCAGTTTCACTTGTCTGCTCAGTGGCACCCACGGGAACTCTTAAACTGGCCACCTGGGGGCCTTCTGAAACCCAAGGTGGGCACAATATTTTCACCTAAAACCCCACATTTTTAGCTACACTGAAAATTAAAAGTTCCAGCCATATCGGGCCTACATTTCTGTATAGCACAGTCAGCCAGAGCCAAGTAGCAGCTACTTTCCTCAGTTTACCCCAGTCCCCACTGCTCCATATTGTCCCACACCTGACCCACTCACCTGCCTGATTCCAGCCCACCTTAGTGTCCATGCCCTCTGCCCGTTTCTTCCTCTGCCTTGAACAAATGGGCTCAATTTATAGCCCTCAGTGTGCCCACACTTCCCCAGGCCCAGGAAACTCCAGTGACCTAAACTCACTGATCCCAGGCTGCCCACCCGGCCCTCACTCACTGTAGGATGCTGATGTAGTCTTCCACTGTGGCCGGGTGAGCAGACTGCCAGTTCTTCTTGAATCCCACCACAAGAATGTTGGGCTTCATTCTCCCCAGACCCACGGCCTGTAGGATTGAGGGAGTGGTCAGAGGCATGGGGCTGGCAATCAGACTGTAGGGCCACCTGGGCTCTGCCCTGCAACTGGGTGAGGTGCACCCCGCCACCCTCCATCCATGCTGAGGAGACTCAGGAAATCATCCTCCCTCCAGGTCCTCTCTTCCCCGACATCATGAGGAGGTGAAGCCTCAGCCAAGGTGACCCCTGTGATTTCTCTCTGCCAGGCCCAGGACTGGGTTATCCCAGCTGCTGCTTCTCTCATAAATAATTTCTCATAACATGAGACCTGAATTTGGATGTCCAACTTAGTGTGTGCCTGGGTCATCTAGTCCATACATCTTTTATGTTTCTCTTTTCTTAGTATTTTCAGATATTGAAAAATTTCGAGGTGAAATTCACACAACAAAACTGACCGTTTCAAAGTGTACAATCCAAAAAGCAAAATAAAACACAAGCTGTACATTGCAGGGGCATTTAATACATTCACAATGCTTAGTGTATTCACAATACTATCAGTTCTATCTACTCCCAAAATATTCTCAAAACTCTTTATTTTAATTTTGAGAAATAGCTAAAACTAGGGCCGGGGATTTAGCTCAGTGGCACCATGCCTGCCTTGCAGGCGCAAGGTCCTGAGTTTGATTCTCGGTACCAAAAAAAAAAAAGAAATAGCTAAAACTATTGAAAAAAGATTCTCATGTGTTGGCTCAATTATTATTTTATCCATGTACCTCATTTTACACATGAGAAAACTACCTACATGCAAACATCTATCACACTACACATGTAATGGTTTTTCACTTGATAGTATGTAAATTATATCTAAAAAAATAAAAACAAAAATAGAAACTGGTCAAGTCTATACAGGCCCCACAAGTTTCCATGTCATTTTCCCAGGTCCTGGGCATCAGAGAATGTGCTCTTAATCAGCACATGTGAGGATGCAAGAAAAGGGGGGCTGCTTCCTGGTGCACAACAAGGAGCTGATTCTGTCTTTCAAGTTGTCACACCAGGTCATAAGTCCCACGGGGAAGCCCCCAGAGCCACCATACCTGCATAAGAATCTGGACACCACTGCGGAGGTCCTCAGCGATGACATCTGAGTAGAAGGCCTTGACCTTCCTCTTCTTTAGCCACTTCGTGTGTCCATTGGCCAGGAGTCGGAGCTCAGGCATCCTCTGCTTGTGGGGACCCTGTAGGTGGCAGAAGCAGGTGACATCAGGGTCTGCCTTGTCCCTCTGGCCTGAGATTCAGCCCCTCTCCTGCCCCAGATGTACCCATTTTTCTTTACAGAGTTAGTGGAGGAATAGAAGAAGAAGGGAGGGAGGGAGATGAAAGGAACATGGGCGTGGTGGGGCGGAGGGGAGAAGCCAGCGAGAGGGACCTGAAAGGGAGAGACCTGGGCTCATAGAGGACCTGACCAGGAACTGCTCGCCCCACACCTTCTCTGCCACCCCACCCCCCACCCCCCGGGTAGATATCACATCCAGGCAGCTCCTGAGAAGTATGGATGGCCCGGCCCCACCTACTGAGGACACTCACAATGAGCACATGGCCACAGATCATGAGGCTCAGGTTCTGGGTGAAGGTGCCCACAAAGTCCACAAGGGCCGGGCGGAAGTTGGGGGGGCCTGTGAGCACCAGGCACTGGGGGCTGAGGAGGAGGAGGGAAGAGGGTGTGAGCCATCATGGGAGAGTCACTGGGGCCGGGATATTAAAAGCAGGTACCCCAGCAGGTCTGCTAGGTCACCCTGAAGCACAGTATGGCCTCAGGCAACACCCTGCACACTTATACTTTGGGATTCATCTTTCTGGCTGTGACTCAGGGCTCTTACAGCTCTTGTGGTGGCCACCATACTAAGTCTCCCTTGTGCTTCCTGCTCAGGCCACCGAGCATCCCACCCAACACTTCTCCTTTGCCCTGCCTAGCTCAGCATGGTGTAGAATAAACACCGATAGTAAGGACACCTATCTGTGTCACCTGGGCAGGTGAGTGAGCATTTGTGTGGAGTGGTCAAGGGACACTGCTGGTCAATGAGAACCAGACTCAATGCTTCTGAGGCCCGAGGGGCCAGTAGTTCACCTCCCTGTGCCTTGGTGTCCTCATCTGTGGGTGGGGTTAGTCATTTTACGGACTTCATGGGTCTGTCATGAGGCCACATAAGGCTTTGAGAAGCACCTGGCTCACACTATGGGTGACATAAACAGATCTCCTGATTATCATCCTCACACTCTGCTGGGAAGGAGACTGCACGAACAAGATTCTCCTCGCGACCAGCCTGAAGAGGACCCAGGGAAGGTTTGTCACTGCTGTCTTCCCAAGGTTACAGTGATGAGAATTAGCATCAGATCACCCTCACAGCAGAGCAGCTTCTACTGTGGAAACTGAGACATGGAGATTCCCTTCCTCACTTAATCCCACTGGGCAAGGTCCACCCCAGCCTCCTACAGCAGCATGGGGGGTGTTCCTCCACCTCTGACCCCTCTCAGCAGTGCCGGGCCAGCCTGGGTCAGGAGGCCTCCCGGGGGCCCCGAGCTCTGCTCACCGGTAGTTCTTGATGTGGTCTTCCACCTCAATGAGGCCCATGGAGTAGCTCAGGGCCAGGTTGTAGGAGCCAGCCTGCACGGAGGAGCCCCAGTTCACCTCTAAGAAAGGGGGTCGTGGGGAGCATGACTCAGAGTCACCAGAATAAGCCAGTTGTGCCTCTGTGGGCACTGTGCACCTTGGCAGCAGGCCACCAGGCAGGTAGACAGCCTCAGCTCTGGCCCTAATGTGTGTGGGGCTGGGGACCCGAGTACCCCCTGGCTACATAATCAAAAGTTACACATCAGGGTATTGAACTCTACAAAATATTCTCCTGCCTTGACACACAAACCTTCACAATGACCTGGAAATCCAGGTTCGTATGTAGACTTCTAGGCTGTCTTGGAATTGTGTTTCCCATCCACAGATTACTGTCATCCCAGGACCCCTGCCCGTGGCATGTAGACACTCCTACACTGTCCAAGCTTTGTCTTCCTCTCTTTCCAACAGCCACCTCCCAGGGCTGGTTGGGAAGCTGGCCCTGCAGGCAGACTCAGGCCCTTGAAACTGGGAATTCCTGGGGTCTGTGAGGTCTATCAGTAGAAGTATGGGCTTCAACTGGGTGTACAAGGAGGGATGAGGTCAGGGGGCAGCATGGGGCCCTGGGAAGTGCAGGACTGGAAGCTGAGCCCACCCACCTGGTTTCTTGTAGATCACGTAGAGCAGGAGGAAGAGGACGACTCCAATGGCGATGAGGGCCGCCCACCAGGTGAGCAGGAACATGATGACCACGGAGATAACTGCCCCAAAGAGCGCCGCCCACTTGCTGTAGTACTGGAACGAGGGCCTCCACCCTGGGCAGGGGCCCCATCAGTGGATGCGCCCTGCACTTGGGAACCTCCTTGGGGCCACAGCTCTGGCGGGGCTGCATGGCAATGCCCACTATGCCCAGGCTGGGGCCCAAGGGGCCTCACCCACTTCCTCCTGGGCTGGGCCTTGCTGCTGTACTCCATGGCGACAGGCCACACCAAGGGGGAGCCTCCAGCTCTGGCCAAACATGGGTCAGCAGTAATGCGAGCTCATGGCATCCATGAAGCCAGGGGGTGAGATGCAGGGGAGATGGCACAATTCTACCTGGCCCCACACCAGGAGTGACATCTGCCCCATGGCGCAACTCCGAGGCCACCATGCACACTGTGGCTGTGTAAAAGGAGGCCTGGTTACCAGCTTGTTGATAATTTGGGGCTAATTAGAAAAAGCCGTCCTTCCTCAGGTCTCTCTACTGCCACCTGCCAGAAATTTTTCATCATTAACATACACACCTATGTGCGTTGTGATAGGAATAGCACCCTCTAGAGCTGTGCAGTGTGCAACCTGCCCCACTGGATGTGACGGTCCGTGGCTTTGGGAAATTCTCCTTCCCTTCTAGTGAGTCAGACTCCTGACTCCCAGTGGAGGAAAGGACTAGAAGAAGCTCTGCAGACTATAGACAGCACATGAATCCAGGGAGAGTGCCGTTGTTGGCGCCTGGACGTTCCCTTCACATGGTTTCCACTTGAGAGTGACCTTGGGTTGCCGCCTTCCACTTCCAGCCCCCCCCATACCTCGGCCCTTAGGTGTCTCCCCTGTGGTAAGGCAAAGTGCTGGCTCACCGGGTGAGTTGGTGATGGAGGCGTGGAAGCAGCTGAAGTTGATGAGGGCGTAGGAGCACAGGAAGAAGTTGGAGATGATTGGGGCAATGGTGTTGAGCTCCGCTTCAGCGGCCCAGGGAGAAAAGAGTAGCCTGTCAGGCAACTCCACCGAGGAACTGCCTGGCACTGTCCCTCATTGGGTGAGCTCCAGGGCTCAGCGAGTCTCAACCTTCCCCTCTGTGAAATGGGCCCATCCTGTTGTGAAGTTCAAAGGGACTGTGTCTTGTCAACTGTAAGCTGCCATCTTTCAAGAGGACGGAGGCAGTGTGAGGTGAGCCCCATCAGGCCAAGGAGGACTGAGGGCCGTGCCCGTGATACCTTTGGCCAAAGATTCCAGTCAGGAATATACAGTACTTGGTGATGCAACCCCATCCCACCTCCCGTGGGGACCCATTTCACAACTGGCTCCTGCTCTGAGCCATCTCATTGATGCCCAGGCCCCCAGACACACTTGGGAGTGCAAATCCTTGTTCTGTGGCCTCTCCTGGGGTCCCAGAACAGCACGAGCACCTCTTCTGCCTGATTCCATTCACTCCCCCCGAGAAGCTAGCCCCAGAGAGCCTGAGACCATGGTCCTCAGACTGCGCAAGTCAGAGCCATCCAGGGCCAAGGATGCACCTCCTAGTTGGGGTGCTCTACATGGAGACAGCCTGGTCTGCGGAAGAAGGACCGGTCCAGGAAATGCCAGGCCTAACTGGGCTTTTCCACCTGCCACCTCTTCATTGGCTTCAGGATCCAGGACCCAGGGTCTAAAAAGCCTCCCTCAGCCTACAGTGCCCGGACTGTTAGGTAAGGGACTGGCAACTGGTGATGCCAGCCTGAGCGGCTGTGGCAGGAAGGTGGGACTCAGAGAGGCTGGCCTGCAGCCTATCCCCACCCCAATCAATAGTGGGGACCGGGGACATCGTGTCACAGCCTGGCCACTTCTCTCCCAGTGAGCTGTGCTTTCTTGGCTAAGTTAAGGAGGAGATACTGGGTGTGTGGACATATGGTCTCTTCCTGCCCACCTGTGACACGCCCATTATGCACTGTTGCTCCCATTCTGCAGAGAAGGAAACTGAGGCTCAGAGAAGTAAATTGCTTGTGCAAGGTCACACAGCTGGCACGTGGCAAAGCCTAACAGATCAGCTGGACTTTTTATCTTCAGGGCTCCCTCAGGGTGAGTCACTGGCTGTTTAATTCATACACCCAAGAAGGTCGACCCAGCCATTTCTGTCAGCCCCTGGGAAGGAACCAAGCAGCTTGACCCATGTTCCAAAGGTGACCTGAGGGTTCATTTAAACTCATAAGGGGTTATTGGGCCAGGGATTTAGCTCAGTGATGTCACTGCCTGCCTTGCAAGCACAAAGTCCTGAGTTCAATCCCCAGTACCAAAAACAAAAACAGAAACGATAAAACCTCATAAGGGGTGAGGGGAGGTTCCCAGTTGCCAGGACACTGGAACACAGAAGCAGGGGAAGGAGGTAAGGTCTCTTGTACCAAAACAGAGCAGTCCACTGCCTGCATGGTGTGGGAGCTGCCCTCCCTGGAGGTGGGAGGGGGCCCCCCCAAAGCCTCTTTCCAGGAAGAGCTTTGCTCAGAGCTCTTCACTGAAGATGCACTTATCATGTGCAAGGCCCTGGGTTATATTTTTTTTAAGAAAGCATTTTTGACTGAGCACCCACTGAGGCCAGGCCAGGCTGGCTGAGTAGGAAGGAGAGGACTGAGCCTGTGACCTAGCCAAGTCTGGCAGCCTCTTACCAATGATGATGAAGGCCACGGCGATGGCATAGGCCAGCAGGTAGCCGCGCACAGGCTCCTTGTTCTTGCCGTAGCCTTTGCCAAAGAAGCCGATCAGTGGGTACAGCTGGTCCTCACACAGGCACTGTGGGCACCCAACACCACACTCACCTGGTGTCTAGGACCTGCCACCTCCCCTCCCCAGGCTGCCTGGACTCCAGCCCCTGCTGGGCCCCCTCTGTGCCTGCAGCAGGGCACTTCCCCAACACAGGCTCCAATTTCTGATTCTTTTAAGTAGGTTGAGATTACACCACCTTCATTGCCATGGAGACAGGACAAGGCCAAAGCAAGAAGGGTCAGTCCCATGGCAGGGGCGTCTTGGAGGTGGACTTACAGACAGGCTGCTGAGGCCATGAATTTGGGATGGGAATTGCAGGTGTTCTTCCAGTCACCCCACAAGAGGGGGCTGCTTCCTTCCATCCGGACACTGCTGTCACATGATCCTTCTTTACAGCTGTCACCAGGGAACCCACCACCTGGGCCTCCCAACTTGGGCCCCTCTCCTGTGGCCCTTTCCTGGGGCCTCACCTGGAAAACTTTGGCAGCTGAGACGAGGCAGGCAAGGGCAGAGGAGAGGGTGGCCCCGAAGATGCCGGCTGTGATCAGGGGTGCGAAGGCTGACACCATGCTCATGGTCTGCGGGGATGGTGAGGGCTGATCTGGGAGGCCCTGCCTGGCTCCCCAGTACCTACTGCAGGCGGGAGCTGGTCCTGACACCTCCATCAGAGTCCACACCCTCACTTGGGTGCTGCCCCTCATGGACAGAGACCAGGCACAGGAGCCCCACCTGGGCTCACAGCCTTTCTCCAAGCCAGAGCCCAGCTCCCCGTTACGTCACCCCAGGATGTCCCGGCTCTGGGAGGCCCTGAAGAGCAGAAGCCCTGCTACCTGGTAGTAATTGATGAGGCCATAGCGGCAGCTGTGCTGCTGGGAGCACTTGGTGAAGTTCCAGCCATAGTTGCAGGCCAGCCCCTCACAAGTACCCAGGCCAGAGGTCACCGTGTCGTTCAGGTCCCCAGAGGCATCCCGGACCACACAGGAGCCTGAGAGGAGGAAGGAAATGTGAGTGTCTCCCTAGCCCTCTTCCCCTCACCCCCTTGCTCTGTCCTCTCCTACTCCCAGAATGCTGTCTGCTTCTGCAGAGAGAGAGAGAAAGAGAAGGGACAGAGAGAGAGAGAGAGAGAGAGATGCTGCCAATAGCTCAGTTCTTCCTTTATCATGGAACAATAATCCTGATGTGATAGCTAATACCAGGTGTGCTTGTGGTATGCCAGGTACCATGGTGGGTACTTTACAGCAACCTTGGGAAGCTGGAAGTGCTGTTATTTTTGTTGTCATTCCCATTCTGTAGAGGCACACGGAGCTTAGTAAACTGCCCAGTGTCTTCCATAAAGCAGAGACCTGGCTTTCAAGGCCTGAGTGCCCTTGAGGGAAGCCAAGTCCCTTGGCATCTGGGAACAGCTTGCCTCAAAGGTGGTCACTGGGAGCAAGTGCACCTGACAGCATCTCAGGTCAAGGCAGGTGTTACTAGCCCAGGGCTGGATTCAAAGCCTGGCTCTACTGCTCAAGGATGGTGTGACCTTGGAAAGGTCACTCACCTCTCCTTTGAAGAATGGGGGAAGTGACAGTGCCTGGATTAAATGTGGCAAGCCATGTTAAGGACAGGGAGGCAGTAAGGCAGCTGCTGATATCATCATCATCTTCATCATCCTCTACTTAGAGGTAGAGCATGATTCATCCTGCAGGATCTTCATGCCCATGAAGGTAAAACCTCAATGTTTGAAGCGACCATAGGAGCCTGGACTGGCCTCCCTCACTGTGAAGATGCCAAGGTGACAGGCACCCCAGGGACAGTGTTCAAGGCTCCATTTCCTGAGGCTGCCACATCCTCCTGGCCCAGCTGTCCTTGTTCAAGTGAAGCCCCACCTGTGGACCCCCTCCAGGGCCTGGGCTACATGGACTCTGCAGGGTAGGTGCCAGGTTCCTGTCCTGTCCCTGTTAGCTGGACCAGCTACTCACCAATGGTGGCTGAGACGGCCAGGTAGGAGATGGTGGTCCAGAAAATGGCCATCAGAGTTCCCCTGGGGATGGCCACGGCAGGGTCCTGTAGGAGGAACAGTGGTGTCAGGCAGCCTCTAGGTCTCCCACCCCTGGCCCTGCACCTATTCCAGCTCCCTTCATCAAGAATCCATAGAAGCAGGTGACCAAGATCACAGGCCTGTTACCACATCCGAGTCCCGGGGAGCCTGAAGTGAAAGAGAAAAGCAGCAGCTCCTCACCTAGGCCAGGGAGGACACCTGGCTAAAGCTTGCTATGGGGGAAGGAGAGCAGGGCCCAGGATGGTAGGGTTCTGAGCTCAGCCTGCCTGCATTCAAATCCAGGTCACCAGATGGGGTGTGGGCTGATCTCCCAGCCTCTGCCCCTCATCTGTGAGAGGTAACAGCAGTGCCACTGTGCTGCTGGTGAAGTGCACAGATCCATGTGAACTCCTGGCCCAGACCTGTTTACTCTCAGCCTTCATGACATACTTGTCATTAGGCATCAACTGGTTGTGTGATTCCACAATGATAAACAGATGGGAATGGAAGACAAGCCCCAAGCTTCTTCTTTTGCTCCAAGAAAGAACTCTCTGTATTTTCCTAACAGCAATAGCAAATCTTCACACACACCTGTCATATGGTCCATTCTTTTAGGAACTTTCTCAAATGTAATTTCCTAAGAAGTAGCCTGAATGCCTCCACTGGCTGGTGGGGAAACTGAGGGCAGAGCACAGTGAAGAGGACCCACTTCATACAACCTCTGGTGGCTCTGATCCTGATGCCACTGTGGTCCACAGCCTTGGGGTCCACAGGCCAACCCAGGAGCAGCAAAAGAGACTGGGAATTTTACAGCAAGTTCAAGACCTGCTCCATCCTCTGGGCAGAAGCTCCAACCTGGAAAGGAGGCCATCTCTCCATTGAGCAGCCCATTTATTACCGCCCCATCTCTGGTTTCCCTGAAGTTTCTGCTTACAACCCAGTCAACAAGTACAACCTGCTTAGAGACAAGTTGGAATGTGAGGGAAGAAATTACAGGCAGACAGAAATGGGAGAAGAGATGCAGAGTGGTGGGAGGCTGGGGTCTTGGGGAACCCCAGGTCTGCTGGAGTCTCTTTTGGGGACCACACAGACCTGGTCCTTCCAGGTGTGCCCAACTACCTAGGGATGGCTTGACCAGGTCATGCACCCAAGTCCCTGACCCTGAGGCCAGCAGACCAGACCAGCTTGCCAACCCCACTTCTAGTGGGCTGAAGAGCGTCTCCCAAAGTTTATGTCTGCCTTATGTAGACCTAACGTACTTATGTCTACCTCAGGATGTGATCGTATTTGGGGATAAGGACCTTGCAGTTGTGATTAGTTAAGATGCAGTCATTCTGAATTAAAGTGGGCCTCAAATGCAATCACTGATGTCATTCTAAAAGAGGGAAGGACACGGAGACATGGAGGAAAGAAGGTCATGTGGTTATAGCAATGCAGACTGGATGTGCTGCAAGCCCAGGGATGCCATTGTCAGGATCCACTAGAGCCAGGACATGGCCAGGAAGCATTCATCCCTAGAGACTCCAGAGGGAGTCTGCCAGTACTTTGATTTTGGATTTCTAGACTCCTGAATCACAAGAGAATAAATTATTGTTGTCTTAAGCCATCTAGTTTACGGTAATTTGCAGGAAAGAACACACAACCCCTCAGTCTGTGTGGGAGTGGCCTCCATACGGACATCCCTGGGGACAACACATGAAATAGGTCATTTAAATTCAAGTCTTTATTCTACAGACTTGCTTTCTAGTTTCTCTGCCATCGTGTGGCCCTGGCTCAGCCCTGTAACCTCTCTGGGCTTGGCTGGTGTTATGGTTTATAGCTAGATGTCCCCAAGAGAGCCTCATGCACTCATAGACAGGGCTTTGGAAGGTGATTGGATTCTGGGGGCTTATAGCTGGCTTGTTATTAAGAGGTGGGGTCTGGTCAGAAAAGGCAGGGCCCTGGGGACTCAATCACAAAGGGTTCATCTCTCTTCCTGGCTCCTCCCTTCAGTCTGCTTTCTGGCTGCCATGAGATGGGCAGCTTTTCCTCTGCCATGCCCTTCACCATGCTGTTTCTTCTTTGGAGCCAGCCAACCATGGACTGAAGCCTCTAAAATACAGCCAAAATAAATCTCTTCTCCATTAAGTTTTGGATGTCAAGTATTGAGTCTCAGTGTTGAGAAAAGTGACAAAGAAGCTTGCTTGTTTGTGTCATAGTACAAATAACGATGATGGTGATGATGACAAGCTCTCAGCGTATCCCCTATGCCCAGCACTGTTCTAAGCACCTGATACAAAGTAGCTCTTGGAATCCTTAGCCCTGCAAGGCTGGGGCTATATGAGTTCCATTTCCAGCTGGGGAAGTTGAGGCCCGGAGAGGTCGTGAAGGAGTTGCCCAAAGTCTCACACATAGGAGCCACTCTGCAGCAGAGTGCATTGTCCCTCAGGATGAGCAGAGCCAAGGGCCAGCAGCCTCTTTAAGGCTGAGAACACTGAGGACAGCGAAGATGCCTACCTTATGAGCTCAGAAAGAGCTGCCTGCCCTGATGCCTGCATGCTGGGCTGATGGTAACTGAAGGTGCTTAATGAAGCATCCAGATCAATTCCCAGAGAAAGGACCAGAGCAGGACAAATGCCCTGGTTTCCAAGCCCTGTAGTATATGCCCTGGAGCAGATCCTGCTAGAGCCAGGCTGGTTTTGGGATTATCTCCAATTTACAATTTAATCCATTTAAGCAAAAGCACCTAGGAGTGCCTCTGGGTGGGCCAGGAGAGTGGGAGGAAGGGGTAGCTGTGATTTCCAGTCACCTTGGAACCTCCTGCTGGCAAAGGCTCCACGAGCTTCTCATCTTTCAAAGCCCAGATCTACTCCCAGGAGTTTTGCCCCAGCCCCTGTCAACATCAGTTTGTCCTTCTACCCTGCTTTATGGCACTTTGTACTTCTGCTCCAACACTATGGTGCACCGTTATCCAATCAACAATATCCTGAGCACCTAGCTTCTCTCAGGCTGTAATCTGGGAATACAGACGTAGAGGGGGGTTGAGATCATTATGCTAGGAAAACAATGACTGCAGGACAGCCTGGCAGAGCTGTGGGAGGAGGTATTTGGAAGAGGAAAAGAATTTTGGGAGGCAAAGAAACAAAGGTAGGGATTCCCAGGTGGAGAGTGCAGCAGAGTCAAATGGATGAGGGTGACATGGGCAAAGCACAGGTGTTTGGGCTGAGCAAGGGTCGTGGCTACAGGGACAGTGCTCAGGGACAGGGCTGGACAGGTGTGCTGCAGCCCAGCCAAGGAGCTGCCTCCGTCAAGGCAATAGAGAGTGGTGGAAGGATGTCAGCTCAGCAAAGATGTACATGCTCAAGGCCCAGGTTTGGAAAGTCACAGGAGGGTCAGCATTCCCCCTAAGGCTGAGAGTTCTGTGAACCCCATTTTGGGGTGTCCTGCAAGGGACAGAGCACAGCTGGTATCAATCAGTCAACAGCCTCCCAGTGAAACTGATTTGGACTGAAGGGAGCTGCAAAGGCCTGGACTGGATTGGGTGTAAGCTCTGACCTCCTCTCCGGCCTCAGTACCACACTCAGTGACCTGCAGCAGATCCTGGTGTGACAGGGAGTGAGACTGTGCTCATAGCTCCCTGCAGTGCCAGGACACAGGAGGGACAGGTGTTCTGCTCACCTTGAGATCCCCGGAGATGTTGGCTCCTGCCAGGATGCCGGTGGCAGAGGGAAAGAAGATGGAGAACATTCCGAAGAAGCTGCCATCAATACCCCGCCAGTCAGGCACTAAGTTCTGGACAAAAATGTCTCCTGGAAAACCAAGGCTAGAGTCAGGGCCACCTGGAGGGCTTGGTCCCTCTAGCTGGGCCTGGCCAGGCAGGCAGTCAGCTTCCCAAGCAGCTCCTGGCCATGGGAATAGGGTATTCCATCTTTCTGCTGCTCACCCAATGGGTCAAATTTTTGGACAAACTATCCTTGCCCTAGAGCTGTGGTCTGGGGTCCACTCTACATGTACATACCCCGGTAGCTGAAGAAGCCCTTGGAGGCCTTGTCCTCAGATGGGGGGATCAGTGTCCCCACCAAGTAGTTGGCAAAGGAGACCATGATGACAAGGAAGAACAACACCTGAGCCTGGGAAGTAAAAGACCCCAGGGGTCAGGCTGTGGCCCCACACCTTCAGGGAGCCTCAGCAGGGACAAGCTTGCCCAAGTCCCTCGAGCCATTATTCATGCTATCTTTCACTCACACCCATTGCACAGTAAGCTCTGTTCAAGGAGCTGGGAACACAGCAGTGAATGGGATGGCCAAGATCTCTTGTTCTGGCTGATGAGTATGTAAGATGACTTTAGGGGAGGAATGGAGTGTGGTGGGATTGAGGTGAAGCTGCTTTAGCAGGGTGGCCTGGGATAGTGTCTGGAAGAAACAGACTTCTTTGCAGATATATAAAGGAGGAAGATGAGTGAGGCATAGCATGGTCTGGGGACTAAGGTTAGTACTTTTAAGGAAGAACAAGGAGGTCAGCACTGCTGGAGGGAGGTCAGAAAATGAGGGAGCCAGAAGGTGCAGGAGCCACGCCCTATCTAGCTTGGAGGTCCCCTTTTGGTCAAGTATGCCAGTTTTAACCCAATACTTCTGCCCTACACCTTTGACTTTTAGCTGGATACATGGTTCCAATGAAGACCTACTACCCAGCCTCCCTTGCAGCTATAAGGGGCTGCATGACCAGGATTTAGCCAATTGGACACAAGCAGGATTGATACAGGCAACTTCCAGCTTGTACAAGAAAGGGAAAGGGAAAGGAAATTCATTCCCTTTTATTTCACTCTTCTTCCCTTTCCCTCTGCCTGGACTGGGGACATCATGATGGTGGCCACCTGGGCCAGGTGAACAAGGGCCCACACCCAAGGGATGGAGGAGCCACAGGATGGAAGGAGTCTGGGTGTCCAACCCTTGATGGGCAACCATGTCCACTTGGACTGTTACATAAGAGAGAAATGAAGCCTCTATTTGGAGGTCCTGTTAGTTGGAGTCTCCTTCACAGCCGCAGGACTTGAAGCCTAGCTAACACACATCAGAACCAGGGCCCAGGCCCAGGGCTGTGACTCTGCTCCTCACCTTGGACTCCCACTCCATGCCAGCCAGGGAAATGCCCAGGAGCACAGTGACGGTGACCACGCCAATGATTCGGATGTCGTTGATGGGGTCCACAATGGGCACGCCGTACTCCTGGGAGGGCAGGTTGGTTGTGTGCCACCCTCTGAACAACACATGCCCCTGGACTCCACTTCACTGAGGTCCCTCTGACCCATACCTAAGGGTCTTCCTAGCCCACAGATTCCCAGGGCAGCTCTGCATGGACCTGGATAACATGGTCTTGGGGCAACACACGGTCTATGGCGACAGTTTTGATTTGATGAGATTCTCATTGTCACCTGTAGTGACTAGACTGTGGCCTTGGTTCCCAATGGAAGGAAGGCCGGCCCAATGGGAATGAGCACAGTGGGGCAGCCTGGGGCCCAGCCCTGCCTCACCTGCAGCAGGTCCCGAACAGTCTCTGCAAAGCCCACGGTGTGCATGGATACACCAACGGCGTTGGCAAAGGCAAAGATGAGGCCAATGGAGCCCCCCAGCTCTGGGCCCAGGCTCCGGGAGATGAGGAAATAGGTGCCACCTGCCAGGGCCGGAATTGGAACCCGCAAAACCAGAGGAATCAGCTGGTCAGGCTGGGTTGGGGAAGGTGACCAGGGGACAAGAGCAGGAGGTGACTGGGTCCGTCCTGTGGTGTGGGGAGCCTGCCCGGAACCCTCACCTCCAATCACAGGGGCAGCCCCGGTGTCCCATGGGTGGGGAGCCCACAAGGGAAGGCTGTGGGGACGCACCTGACTTGACCTTGCCATTGGTGGAGATGGCAGAGATGGAGAGGCCAGTGATGGAGGTCACCGTGACCGAGAGCAGGATGATGATCCAGGTCAAGACTGTGTGGGGTGAACGTGGGAGCCCCAAGACTCAGTGAGGGTGTTTCCCAGGAGAAGAGCGATGGAAGGAACCTACTAATTCACTGCCCCTCTCTGGACCTCAGTTTTGTCATCTGAGAAATGGGTCACTGTTTACTTCCTGGCATTTTCTGAATAGCCTAGGAGCTCATGAGCCCACATAAAAAGGATTGCTAGTTATAGAAGGGAAGTTCCCTCCTTTAAAAACAAAGGATAAAAATAAAGTGACAGTTACCATTATGAGCACCTCTTCTCGAGCCAGCTGCTGTCATCAGCCCCATTTGACTGATGAGGAAAACAAGATTCACAGAGGATAACAAACTTGCCTAAAGTCACATGGCCTGAGGCAGAGCTCTCACCTGCACCCTGGCCTTCCAGAGTGCAAGTCCCTCACCACATGTCTGCAGCAGGAATTGGCTCAGAGAGGTTAAGTGACTTACTGAGGACAAACAGACCAGGGGATCCCTGAGGACTGCTGACTCCCTGTCCGATGGGTCTCTGTCACGTCACCCTCACTGCTGTCACTGCAGGGGCTCCACACCATGCCAGAGAAGAGCAGCCTGACCTGTGGTCTCTGCAGCCCAAGGTCAAGCCTGCTCCCAGGGGTCTTAGTGACAGAGGACAAGGACTCAAGCACAGCCTCCCTCCTCTCCCAGGCTGGCACTCACCAATGCCCGCCTGCGCCGTAATCCAGGGGAGCCGCAGGTAGAGGATCACACCCCAAATGTTGAGCATACAGCGGATCTGGGAGGACAGCGAGGTCAGAGGCTCTGTGTGCACGCCACACACCCCATGGCCAAGCACATAAGTCCCTGCTGCTGGTCGTGGCATGGCATTGACCTCCTAGGTGTAGGAGACACCAGTTCTCTGTGCTTTACCCACGCTGACAGGCCAGGCCCTGTAGTTCACCAGGGTAGGAGGGGGTCCACCTCCTCCCCAGGCCTAAGGATGGGCTGCAAGCAAGATCACAGCTCCTCCTAGTCCAAACCAGGATCCTGTGTCCACTAGACCCAGCTATGGCTCTAGTGGCTAGCTGTTGACCTGAGACCTGGCTTTTTTTTTTTTTTTTTGGTACTGGGGATCAAACTTGGGTCCTTGCACTCCCAGGGCAGGTGGTGGAAACACTGAGCTAAATCCCCGGCCCGAGACCTGGCATTTTGGGGGAGCTCAGCAAATATCAGCTGAGCCAATGCCTCACTTACAAGTGGAAATCAGGGCTCAGGTTGCTGTGACTTCAGTTTCCAAATGTAAAGCAAAGTCAGAGGCCGAGACTGAAGCTAATGCTCCCAGCGGTCCCCTGGTGTGGTCTTTGGCTGCACCGAGTGGCAGAGTTTCCGAGGTCCTCCGCCTGCTCTGAGATGCTAAACAGAACCACTCCAGGCTCTGGCGAGCACCTCTGAGAGAGCAACACAGACCCTGAATATGACCCTCTGGGGCTCGTAGTGAGTTTAGGGTTTAGATGGAGAAACAGTCATAGCTAATTGGCAGCTGGCAGCATTAAGATCAGAACTGGGCTTCCTGTTTCCCAGAGTGAAGCTAAAGATTTCTCCACTCGTGAGCAGCCCCCCACCCCCTGCAGAACTCCATAGTGTCTTACAAAGCAGAGTTCACTTGATTCTTTACTATCTGGGAGCTTATTCGTGCTGTAAACTAAAATAAACCTTTCCCTTCACATCATGCAGAATGAAAAACAACACAACGCACAGTTGTGGATTTACTGTATATGTTTAGTGCTGCCCTCTGGTGGTGCTTTTGGAAAACACTTCTGTTTTTCTTTTTCTTTCCTTTTTCTCCCCCCTGTGGTACTGGGGATTGAACCTAGGGACTCACACTTGCTAGGCCAGCACTCTACCACTAAGTCACCTCCATATCCTTTACGTTTATTTTAAATTTTGAAACAAAGTCTCACTAAATGGCCCAGGCTGACCTCGAATTTGCAATCCTCCTGCATTGGCATCCCAAGCACTGGGCGTTGCAGGCGTACACCAACCATGCCTGGGGGTTAACAGTCTTTTCATAGAACTCTCTGGCAGGCATTGACCCAAAGACTTTACATTTATTAACTCATTTAATACTCATTTCACAGATAAGGAAACAGAGGCAGTGAGTTGTTAAGTGATTTGCCCATCGCCATGCAACTAGTGTGACTAAGCAGAGATCTGCCTCGGGCCTGGGTCTCAGCCTAGGGCATAAACGGAGTGTTGGGAACCCTAAGTCAGAGAAAACTCAAAGCCACGTGTAGATAGGGGAAACTGAGGCCTGGGCTGGGCCTTGGTTCTGCTCTGTACACTAGGACCTGAGAGTCGCAGCTGAGCCTGCATGGAGCTCGGTCCCCCCACCAGCCCACGCCCTACTCACTCACCATCACTCCCTTCACCCAGCCGAAGCGCACAGGCTCCCCGGGGCTCGTCTCACCATGGGTGCCCGCCTCATCCTCCACCAGCCCATCGGTCAGCTCGTGGCTGGGCTGGCTGTCAAAGGCCAGGGCGTGCAGGTGGCTCCCTTCCTGCTGGGGGCCCAGAGACCACAAGTCAGGCAGGCCCTGGTGCTGCAGGTTGGGTCTCTGCAGTCAGTCCCCCGCCTGCCCCACCACGCCACATCCAGGCCACCCCAGACAGCCTCACAGGTATGGAGCTGCTCTCGGGGCTTTGAGAAAGCCCACAATGGCAGCGGGGACTGGCCACGTGGGAGGCTGGACATTCTGGGCATTCCTGATTATGGCACCTGTTGCTGCTGCAGAGCAAAGGCCTGGGACCTGGCTAGGTAGGCACAAGGCCTGAGAGGGGTGGGACAGGGTTACTGTCACCCCACAGAAGGGTGACACCATGTCCAGGACCACACAGTGGTCCCTAGCAGAGCTAGGACTGGAACCCAGACCTCCACCCCCAGCGTGGCTGGTCCTCCTGTGTGTGCCCAAGTGACCGAAACCCTCCTACCGGGGCTTTTTTCCTGGCCCCTGAGCACAGCAGCCCTGGGTGGAACACAGGGCTTTGCAAACCCCTTGGGAGTCAGGAGGGAAGTCCGCTCAGGGAGGGGAGGAGCCCTGTACGTTTAAGTCTCGGCTCCAGAATCAAGAATGGTTGACTGTCAGATGGGAAAACCGAGGCTGCACGGGGGCTGTGACAATCAGGATCCTGACCCTGCACCCTTCACAGTCCATCGAGCCCCTCTCTGAGAGCACCTTTCCTGCCCTCTTCCCCCAGGTCTGTTTCAGGGGTGTGCAGCCTCTGCTTGCATGCTGCCACTGACGGGAGGCTCACTTCCTCTCTAGGGAGCCCGCTTTACCTCTGGGTTGCCAGTGACCAGACAGGAAGAATTACATGTGCCCAGAGGTTCACCGCTCCCTCCCCTGCTACTTCACTTGGGCCTCTCAGTCCTTGAGAAAGACCCTTATCCATCTTCACAGCTCAGGCGACAGCCCGAGGCTCAGAGATGTTAGGTCACACAGCAGGGAAGTGTGGGGTCATACTGTCATGTCTTCTGACATGCGCTTACCTTGAGGAAGGAGTGCAGGTCAGCCAGCGTGGGCCGGATCTTCCGAGGCTCGCCGGGCAGGGCACTGTCGGCATAGTGCTCGTAGGCCGGCACCACGTCGATGGTGTTGTACCCGAAGGTGCGCATGTAGAGGGTGCTGCCGTGGGTCAGGTGGTTGGGGTGGCTGGTGTCATAGGCCGCTGTTGGCAGGGACTCGTCACCCCCAAGGAGTGTGCTGATGGTGAAGCGCCCGCTGCACAGGGCAGGGTCCCTGGGCATCTCCGCTGTGGGCAGCTCTGCCATTGTGACTCAGGTATCAAGGGAGGGGTCCAGGGTCGGCAAGGACATGCAGGGTGGCTTTATAGGCTGAGTCTACAGCGGGGGAAAGGCGGGAGGGTGGCCCAAACCGCCCACAGCTGGTGAGCAGCGACCCTGGACAGGTGGGATCGGAACACGTGGCCCTCCTGTCCTGCCCACTGTTGGATTGGTGACACAGGACCTGCCTGGGACGGCAGGCCTGGACTTGCCTGGAGCCAGACACTAGCTGAGTCCTGGAGTGGTTCCTGAGTCTGGGGGAAGCAGAGACCCCCCAGCCAGAACCCAGGAAGAAGCAGTCTTCAGAAGGACACTGCGGGACCTGAGAGGGACCTCAGGGGTGCCCTGATGACCTGAGGACTTACCATGGTCCCATCTGATCTGTTGCAGTTTCAAAAACCTCTCACTGTAGTATATGGTGCTTTTTCATTTAATACTTTTGAGTAGATGAATGGTATGACATTTTAAAAGATGCAGATCTATGTGAAAAGGAAGTCTCTCACATTCCAGTCTCTTTCCCAATGTCTTGGCAGGGTGTGTGTGTGGGGGGGGGTTGTTTCCAGGGACATCTAGTATATATAAACCACTGTGAACAAGTGGCTTCAAATCAGATTGCAGCCACCAATGGACAGATAAGCCCCAAGGCTGGTAGCACACTGCATGTGAGCCGCACTTCCCTGGGCTCTACCTGCAGGTCCCGGAGCTAGGAGAGCCATCCCCACCACACTCACAGCAGGAAGCCCCGTCCCAGGGCTGGCCCAGATCAGGAGCTGGTTTTGCCAGCACCCTGAGGCCACTCCTTGATTGCACAGTGGCAATGGGAATGGATTCTGTCACCAGAGGCTACCTAAGCCAGAGGCCACTGGAAGAGGGACAGCCATTGGATTGAGCTGGAGGTGGATGAAAGAGGCGGATCAGGGTTTTAAGAGATTAGCTGTTAATGAGTGGATGCTTGTGGTGTCCTCAGAAATGAAGGACATATTCCCCCAGCTGCTGTGAGTTCTCAGTACCTGCCCTATGTCCATGGCTCCAGTTGTGGCCACTTTTCCCTAACAGAGAGGTAGAGAGACCTGGCTCCTTGTCCTGATTTTAAGGCACACCCAGCTCCAAGCTCCCTTTGAGGCTTTGAGTCCACACCGAAGCCTACTCCTCCCTCTGCCCAGCGCTATCTCCTTTCCTTCTGCCCATAGGTGTGAAGCCCAAGGGTGGGGTGGTCTAGAAACTCACAGAAAATCACTGACTTCATTTCACCTCTCTAGACGCCTTGACTGACCACCCATCATGCTTGGGCAGAAGTGGGAGCCAGTGACAGACTGGGCACTGTGTCTACACTCACAGTGCTGCAGAGTTAGAGGGGGAGTGGATCTGGAAACATCCCAGCCCAGTAGCACAGTGAGGGTAGCAGCGGGAGGAGGGTCAGGGTGGGGACAGGCAGAGAAGACTTCCTGCAGGGGCCCTGACCGGAGCCTCAGAGGGTGAGTGGCTCCTCCTGGAGGCTGCAGAGGGAGACCACCAGAAAGCCACAGGCAGCTCTTGCCCCTGGCATCCCTCAGCTTATGCTCAGGCTCCAGCCAGCCCCCAGAGAAAGATGGGAGACTCACTTTTTTGCTTTCCCTGGCCCTGCTCATGGAACTCACACAAGTTCTCAGGGGACTTTGCTGTGAGGGGCTAAGAGTCCTCAGACTCCCTGACTTCCAACAGCAAGTCAGCACCACCATGGGAGCTTAGAGAGGCCCACCTGGTTCGTGTTGCCCCTCGCTGCTCTGGGACAGGTGTGCCCAGCTAGAGATTGTGCCAGGCAGAAGGTAGCAGGTGGAAATGCTCAGACTCAGTGCAACAAACTGTGCTGGGGAGTCACCCTGCAAGACAAGGGTGCTGGAGCTCACAAAATCATGGACAAATTTTTTTTTTTTTTGGTACCAGGGATGGAACTTGGGACCTTGCACTTTTGAGGCAGGTGGCAGAACCACTGAGCTAAATCCCTGGCCCCATGGACAAATATTTTTGTTTTTGCTTTTTACAGTCCTGTACTGGGGACTGAACCCAAAGATGCTCTACCACAGAGCTATATCTCCAGCCCTTTCTATTTTTTACTTTGAGACAGGCTCTTGCTAAATTCCTCAGGCTGGCCTTGAACTGGTCCTATCTTAGCCTCCTGAGGAGCTGGGATTACAGGCATCTGCCCCTGCACCGGCCTCACAGACGAGTTTGCAAATCTCAGTGCACTTTTCTGGGGAGAGGGCCCTAAATTTCATCCCGCTTGTAGAATGGAAACCCACAACGGCAGAGATCTGGCCCTGTTTTGTTCAGCAACAATCCCAAGCAACTAGAACAGCACCGCACCAGGGAGGTGCTCGGGAAATGCTATTGAATGTGTGACGAGGGGACCCAGAATTGGCTCACAGAACTGCCCTGATGAAGGACATGCCAGGACTTTGCTGGGTTCCTCCAGCCTGGGGTTCTGCTCTAACTGGACACTAACAGGTGAGCCGAGAGAAACTAGACCTCGATGACAAACCCTAAAGGTTATGGTCACTTTGTACCTTTTGTAAAGTTTAAAAATGTACCACACATTAATGTTTTCAAAAAAGAATCTTCTCAGGGCTCCTCTTAATAACACCCAGGCTCCCCTCCCCCTTTCTAGTCTGCAGGGATGTCCCAGCCCCCATGCCAGCTGCCAGCAGGGCTGTGGCCTTGAAGAAAGGACCCCAGCCATGGTCAAGGCTCCAGTCTCCCCAGGCTGCACCCCGGACTGGGGGAGGTTATGGGACCTTTCCCAGCAGAGTTACTCAGTCTCTCAGTGGGGCCCTAGGGGCAGATCTTATCACCCTCTCACTCTTAAATTGCCAATTGACTGGCAAAAAATCACAGCTGAGCCACAATCTCTTACACCTTATCTGCACCCTGCTCTGGGCAGCTGTGGAAAATTCCTGATTAAGATCTCTGGGAAGGAAGGGGCCAGGGCTGTTTCCAGCAGCACTGGGGCTATGGGCAGAGTAGGAGCCACAAATTTTCTGGGTGACCTTGAGTAAGTGACTTCCCCTCCCTGGCCTATGTCAGCCTTGGAGGGGAGCAAGTGACACCTCAAGAACCCTTTCCAGCTCCTCAGCATCTTCCTGGGGTGGGATGGGGTTTAAGCAGGACCCCTTGGAGGATTTAAGCAAAAGGGACTCTGACACCTCATCCCAAAGCACAGATCCCCTGCACTGCCCCCCACACAGCGAATCTTGTACTTGAATGGAACTTTAATTGAGAAATGATCACAGGAGCACTCTTCTGGACTGGGTAAGGGGACACCATGCCCCTGCCTTCCAGAATTTAGCTTCCAGGAGAACCCACAGGCCAGATGACCCCCAGAGACCTGCAGGTCTGAGATTCCTCCTACCCTGAGCAAAGCCCTGTGATTTGGCCTGGAGTCGCAGTTCTGTCAGTTTCCGTGTGACTTTAAGCAAGTCACGTGACCTAGGTGAGTCTCAGCAGCAAAGCAGAAATAACACTTACATCACCCCTATCCAGGTCAGCCCCTGAGTGACACAGGGCCCCTCGCCTTCCCTGGCTCCCAGAAGGAAGGAGAACGAAGCAGGCAAGGAGTGGAGACTCAGAGTTCAGGAAAAGCCCTAGAGCAAACACCCCAGATGCCAGGGCAGAGAGGAGGAGAAGGGAAGGGAGAAGAGCGGAGAAGAGGGCCCACAGCAACCTCTGGATCTCTGGGCCTCCTGTCTTCATGGCCACAGAGAGGCACCTCAGCAGTTACTGTGCTCCTCCTATGTGAGAGGCCCTGGACCTGGAGCCTAGACTGGCAGGCAGCCTGCAAGTAGATGATGCAGCTGGCCAGCAGAGAAGGAGGCTGCCCCAGAGAAGAGGGGAGCAGGGAATGTGGGTCATGCAATGGGCAAGGTGGGTGGGACTGGGGCTGTGGTGCTCTAGGCTGGGGGGGAGGAGGGAATAAATGGTGGGACATCAGACTGGAAGGGGTCTGGTTGTTTCTTCATTCTGCCACATTTATTGAGTGTCTACTGCACACCAGGTCCTGGGCTAGGCAAGGGAGGCACCACAGTGAACAAGACAAAGCCCCTGCCCGCTGGGAGCTTACATTCTAGTGTGAGAGACAAACAATGAATCAGTAATTGTTACAATACGTTTGGTGGTGAGTACTATTAAGGAAACAATGGTTTTTCTTAGGATGGGTATTAGGACTCTTGAGGGTGAAAAATTTGAGCTAATCTCCAATGACAGCAGCCACCCTCACAAGAGCAGGTGTTAAGGGGCTTTATGGGGAGGGTACTATGACTTCAAGAAGGACAAGGAGCCCCCCAGGGCTGGAGTAGAGGGACCAAGGAGATGGAGTTTGAGACACGAAAGAGGGACATTTAGCCTCGTAGGCCAGGGTGAGAAGTTTCTTGTTCTGTGAGAGTCAGAGATGTCTTTCTCAAAGATCACTTTGGTGTGGACTGAGGGAGACTAGTCATGGCCATGGCAGGCTCTCAGGCATGGCCAGGCCAGGAAGTGCTGTGGAGTGCTGGATGCTGAGGTGTGTTCTGAAGGCAGCATGTGGATCTGTGTGGGAGAGGGGCTCGTGGGGGGATTCTATGGGGGAATGAGGGTATCTTTTCTGAGTAGGAAGTCCTGACAGGAGGGGTCCCAAGGGCCAGGGGTGTCAGGCCCCATCTGTTTCTGGAAAGCAGGCTGGGGCAGTAAATAGTGCAAGGTTGTTGTTATGGCAACAGGCAGGCAAAACCACACAACGATCCAGCTCAGTCCTGTGCTCCCCTGGCTGCATATGACCTCTAACAAATGCTAATTCTGGCACCCACCGAGGACTGGAAGAGGGTGGAAGAGGGCTGAGAAGCAGCATTGGGATTTTTTGGTTTTTTTGGTTTTGTTTCTGGGGGGTGTTTTGGAGGGAGGGCAGGGTCTCGCTATGTAATTCAGGCTTGCTTTGAGCTCACTATGTAGCCCAAGCTGGCGTGAACTCACTGCGATCCCCTCCTGCCTCAGCCTCCTGAATGCTGGGATCACAGGCGTGCAC